ATTTCTGCACGTGAAGACCTGCAACAGATCTTGCATTTTCGCAGACTTTCTCTTACCAAGGAAAAGAAAATTGTTCTTGCCACTTTTCTCAGCAGGACTTGTGGCAAAGCCCCTAAGTCTCACTGATGGTAGGAACGGCCGTGGCCATGCCTGATGTCAAAAGTCAGGAGCAGATGACCTCGGCTACACCCTGCCCATGAAGGAGAAAAGGATCCCAATTAACAAAACAAGGAGAACCAACTGTAGAATGAAACCTGCATTCACAGTGAAGCCATCATGGGGACAGTCACTCTTTACTGTGTGTGTGTGTACAAGAAGTACCTTTTCCAAACGCTGAAAAAAAGAAGTTATTATTTGTAGAGTGAGATTAATTCAGCAGAGTATCTGAGTGCCACCCAAGGAAGCTGGTTAAAGTGATAGCTGAATTTAAGAGTAACCTCCTGCTTTTTGTGGCATTGGAGTGTGCGCCTATCAGGGAAGTTTTATGTTTGAAGTTCAGGGAGAAGGTGATGGCCATCTCTTCTGAATGCTTTCAGATGACTGATTTTCAGAACACTGCTGGCAGTCCTCCAGCCGGAGGCCTGGCTATTAGATAAGCTTAACATTACGGTGGCCATTTGCAAAACAGATGAGAGCAGAAATAGCAAGAGGAAATGAGAAACCGAAGAAGCCTGCTGGAACTCCTTGCAAATAAAGACCCAACCTTGGAAGGAAAAGTCTTAGATCCTTCCACTGAAAGAAAAACTAGTAAGCATAAGTTTTCAGCTGCTAAAACTATAACTCCTATCCCAGGGGAGATAAAAGCACTAGCCGAAGAAAGATCACCCCAAGTGCCAGCCTCGAGAAATCTAGGAAACATTACACTTACTTCCTTTGTGAGAGCCTGCACATACGTTTTTAGGTATTACCAGATAGGATCCATTTGCTTCTGCTTTCAGGTTGGTTTTTTAATGATGAGGCCCGTGGCCATCCTGGCTAAGAATCCTGTTTAATAATCCCTGCCTTTGCTCCTATTTAAATAGTGTCACATGGCGTTGGAGCATTAAGCTACCAGAAGATTTGACAGATATCATTTGGCAGATCCTGTGGTGGCCGTTCACATCACCCTTCCAGCTGCTGCTTCCCCCTCTCTGCCAGAAATCACTGTTTCTGGAAGTGACTTGGCAAAAGTGACCATACCTGCAGTTCAGCAACTCTAGTTCAGTCAGGTGCCGGAACCCAAACGTGCAGGCAACTCAAACAGCTGAGGGCTGTTCGCTTTTGCTGTTCTTTTAGTAGCTGAAGTCTCCTTTGCACTGGCATTTGGAAATGCTGTGAGCAGCGATCCTCGGTTACCGCGTTTTCGCCGTCAGGGTTTCACATGGCAATGGAACTGATGGGGTGGAAACAGGAATGGGGCTCTCTCCACTGATGATTTCCTGGCGGAGGGAAAATATTAAGTCATCTTTTCTTAATCGAATAGTCTCACCTGAGTAAATATTCTAGCAATTCCAATTTTTAATTTTATTATCATAGTCTGTTGCTCAAGCTGTGTTTTCTGACTGTGCAGCATTAATAGTGCTACAAGCACATGAAGATTTTTTAAACTGACATTCTATTTTGTTCCTTTTACATTTCCACACATAATCTGCATAGCATTATTAAATCTTTCCTGTACATTATTTAGCCTCTGGGATCAAATGAAATCATACGTAACTGGAACTCTTTGGGCTCTGACAGATGTCCTCTGGCAGATTTTTTGCAGCAGTTTAAGTTGTTACTGCTCTCAGCTATTTTCTTGGCCTTTTCCTGGAATGGGACATGTCTCAGCTGCTCTGGTGGAAAACACTAACCTCTTAGCTTTTAAAGATGATAAAAGCGGGTTTGAGTTACTGTACCAGACTGTGAACCGAAATGGCTGAGGCCAAGGTATGGTCCTTTTCACCAGCTCACCTGCAGGAAGAGTGATCCGTCAGACAGCTGTGAAGGGGCTGGGAGGGTAAGGTGGAGGATTCCTTGCAAGCTCGCGGAGGAATATTTACAGCATCTTGCCTCCAGTCCATTTTGCACGGGAGAGCACAGGGAAGCTGGATATTCTCTGAAAACGGTGGAGGTCGTAATAAAACTGGTGAACTTTTGCAGCTCTTTTCTGTAAGCATATAGATTCTTCTGAAAATGATCTGATTTGTGGGCTGTCTCTTACTGTGGGTCATGAAGTCATCCTAAGGAATATGGTACCTAGACAGTGCAGAGATTTTCTTCCTTTCATCTGTACACCTGCAAAAGGTTTTTTGTGTGTGGGAGAGCTTTTTCTGCCTGGTGCATTTTGTAAATAATCTCTTCACTGAAGGAACCCCTGGGCTCATGATCTCTGCCTAGGTTACCGCACTTTCTACAGATTTGGACTGCACAAAAATAGTCGTCCCCACATCCCTCATTAGTTTTTTAAACCTCTATATCAACCATTTAACATGGCAAAAACCCCACACCATCATATTTTAATGAGTTCAGGCTTTTGTGAACAACTGAGCATTTAAATCTGTGAATAAACTTAAGAATGTGTCACTGCCTTCAAGAAGTGTACTTAGTTTTAAGAAACCACAGCTGCAACAATAAGATGGAAATTTGACACACACTAGGTTGAAGGTGGCAAGGATTAAAGGTATGGAATTAGGAAAATAACCCCAACAGAATGTGGGACATAAATCAATGACTAACTTTGGCTAAGCTTTGCCTTATGGAAGTATGCAGCTTTGCAGCTTCGCAGTTATCAGTATTTGTCATCTTGAGTATCAGTACACATGCCAGATGCAAAAGAGGGGCCCAGAGAGAACATGGGGGATGAGGAAAAGAAAATTAATAATTTCAGTGACAATGTACACTATTCTGATGTGAAACAGAACTTCTGTAATATTTCAAAGGACTTGCACATATATATATATATATGTATGGACGAAAGCTGTTGGAAATAAGCCTTTGACTTCAAAATGTGCCTGATTAAAAAGAATACTGATAAGAATTAAGAAGAGAACAGCTGGAACTTTGATTGCAGTTATGTTTTCTTCTGGATGTTTATTTCTAGATCACTTTTGCAGCTGCTTTTATCTACCCCTTAGAAGTTCTTGTAGATTTGAGGAACCATTAGCTGTAAAAGTAAACATCAGCTCTGGTCTGGTTTTATATATCTTCTTGAAACCATTGAGGGGGAAAAGATAACATTACACTAATGCTGAGCTAGATCAGACTTAAGTGATGCTTTGAACAGCGTTTTAACATTTCAGGCTCCACCTGTGACTCTAACAGAAAGTCAAATATTTCTAATATTCTTCTTTACCGAGCACATAGGGAATTACCAAGCTCCAGGAGTGAAAATACTCTTTCTCAAAAACTTAAATTCATGTCTCACTGTAGTTCAAGAGACAGAATGCTTTAAAGTGTGCTTCCACTATCTAGGTGCAGGGATGGTCCTTAAAACCAGTTCTGTTGCTGCCTTTCAGTGTCTGTCATCTGTGAATATTATGCTTTGAATGAAACAGATCTGCAGTTTTGACTCTGCTTTGTTATTGTAGTTTTTAAAGAGTTCTTTAATAACTGTGGTTTTGTATTTGCTCGAGAGCTGTCTGGTTGGAGACTGGAGAAAGGTCAGGGTTAACCCTGCTTAACCTTAGCTAATGACCTTTATCGGTGGTCTCCTTTTCAGATCTCAGGAGTGTCTGTGATGCTGCTGTGGCCACCAAACTGGGCAAAGCCCTGTAGCCAGTGTCACGGAGACTCCTCTACTTTCAGGTTGCACAAAGAGTTCAGGCACAAGACACATTTTGTTCACAAATCCTACCAGGTGGTTCCATGAGTCTTCTTGTGGGGCCGTTCTTAGATTCAGAAAATATTTTTTCACTTTACTATAATCATCTTTGATTTCTCTGTCTAGAGCATTGATGGAGGCTTCCTCACAGCTCTCCATGGGCACTGTCCTAGGCTCCCTGAAAGCCCCTAGTCCTGCAGGCACCGTTGATCCTTGCTTCCATCACCACCGGGAAGGCTGTCATTCCAAAGCCTGCCTTGTCCCAGGGTCTCTGCTGCTCCCCTCCACGCACACCCAGCCTCCCGAAATGGCAGAGTGCTGCACCTGTGCAGGTGGGCTCCATCCAGCAGCTCAGAGACAGGCAGACTCACGACAACAGTGAAACTCAAAAGCTCCTGGTTGTGTTTCAACAACCAGGAGCCATCAGGACAAATGAAGTGGAAAGGGGGAATACATATTACTCTTGCAAGTTTGTCGTGGGACTGCCAGTATCTCTTTTCCCTCTCTGCTGATCTGAAAAGCTGAAAATAAGAGGCCTCAAGGCAGCTCTGTTTCTGCTGCAGTGTAATGTCCTTGGCTTTCAGCACTTCTCTGGTGCTAAAATGAGTTCTGGTGTTGAAATGAATGGGGTTTGCGTTTTTCTTGGAAACAGTTCCCAAAGGGCGTTTGAAAGAATAGCATAACCAGCTAATCATTTTCACCAGCCTATCATGCGTGAGCAGGTCAAATAAATGAAATAGTTAATGCAAACAGGGCAGATCTGCAATAATCATTGATACTCTTTATGAGATGGACCATGTCATCTAGGACGGACAGAACAGGAAACATCCATTCGCTGGTTTTCATTCTACCGTTTACCAGCGTGTGAAGTCCCTCCAATACTTCTGAGGGGTCTGTGAAAGGGAACTAAGGAGAGCAAACAGAATGCCAGTCCTCTGAGCAGGGACCTGCATCGCTCTGGGAACAGAAAACGGGTCCATGAGCAAAGAAGGTGGAAATCCACTGCTGGGTCTCATCTCAGAGTCATCCAGACTGTACAGGATGGCTCTCTGTTTCTGGCTTGCGATATCCAGAGACCAGAGACCATCTGCCATGACACAGTGGGTGTGCATGCTGTCATCTGAAGGGCTCGGTGGAAAGGCAAGGGGAGGCAAGGCAAGGCAAGGCAAGGCGAGTCAAGGCAAAGCAAGGCAAGGCGAGATAGAAGAACATTATTTACCAGAAAGTCTCCTGACTGGTCCCTGCCCAGCTCAGATACCTTCTTGAACTGATCCATTCCCATTCTCAGCCATTGCTTTTACTGTGCAACCTTTCCGTACTCCAGAGTGATCTTCTCCTGATCTTTTTTCCACAGTGGCTGTGGAGAGTTCATGGAGAAAAAGGGCGATTTTTCCCATGCCACAAGCTAGATCCAAACTGTTCCTTTCTGAAAAGTCTCCAAGGTGTATCAGCATCACATCCACAAGTTTCTTGTTGGAGCAGCTGTCCTTTCAACCAAAAGGATGGTGCACGCAGTGGTGCTATGAGGTGGCAGCAGGAGAAGCTGAGGGGAACACCTGCATTTAAGGCAGAAGCACGGTGGTCATAACATATGAGTGAGTGCCAACAACTTAGCTCATGGAAAAGGATATGAAAACAGGCACGATGCAAAACCCTGCCTAGAATGGTAACTGCTCTTGGATTTTTTATAGGCTTTTGTTCATGTGTTTGTTTTTATGAGGCAATCTGAAAATAATGTCCCTGATTGAGGACGTCT